TTGATCTACTGAACTTTGACAGGCAAAATGATGGTTTCGTGTGTCTGTCAAAGTATGTCCCAACTGCGGATTTCCTCCCGTTGGACCTGGAATGAACATTTCTTAGATATCACTTCATTGTGCCAAAGAAAGTGAACAATTTGTTCCACTCCATGGTCATAGATATTTCACAACATATTTTCGCGTGCATTCATTTCAGATAGATAAAAATGCTAAAAACTGCTGAATTTGCAAAATTTAGAAGCTCTGATGGAATATTTGTTATGTCATCTCAGCGATTGCTTGAAATTGAGGAACTTTTTACTCTGTTTGTATTGACAGGATTTCTTGTGTTTGGAAAATCCCGATGAACAGCGGTATTCTCTTCCACAACCGGGATGTTTGCATTGATAGCGAAATGGTTTTTTGTGCCTTTGGAAATGTTTTTCATATTCGCTTTTGCCCTGGATGATCGCATTACAATCGGGATGTGGACACTCATACTTTTTAACATCTGTAAAATAACTGTTGTAATATTAAAGTATTTTGAGAAATACTCGCTGCCCGAATGATCTTGTTTGCCCAATATGCTTTGACCGGCAATGTGATGGTTTCGTGTATCTACCAAAGTATGCCCTAAATACGGATTTCATTCCGTTTAGCCCAAAATTATCACACTGAGTCAAACGAAGTAAGCGGTTAGTACCCTTTTGGTTTCATGGATCAAATGGCGTACTATTTTCATCACTATTTACTTAGGTTAGAAAAATTTTGCAGTAAATTTTGAATTGCCACTTCACTGTCGTAAGTGTTTTACAATACATTTTCATGCGAAGAAATACGTTAAAAAACTCTTTTGCTAAGTAAACTTTGCAAAACTAACCCCTAATAGCGTGGTATGTCCGCTTGTGCAATCGTAGTGACTGCATACAAGAATAGAATTTGCCACAAATTTCACATAGAAGTTTAGTTTGATGTTTTTCGTAATGCTCTTGAAGTCTCTTTGTGGAAGGAAATTTCTTTCCACATGTGGGCCAAGTGCACTTATATAAACCTTGTTCCTTGTGCGTTTCAAGGTGTTTTAAATATTCCATATACGTCTCCATAGTCGCATCACAATAACGACATTCATGCTTCTGTTTGACTGAAAAACTGGTATGACGTTTGTATTTACAAATACCATTTTATATGATAATTAATGGATATAAATTGAAAAACGACTGTGTTAGCATCATTCATTAAACCTATCAAATTACATTATGATTAACTTAGATTACGGGATTCACTTTTTTAAAGTATATCATATATTTCTTTTTAAACAAAGAGCTCATTCTCAGTGCTGCCTCCAATGGAAGAATGTCGGATGAAAGGTAATGCTGAATTTTTCACTGCAACCAGATGGGGTTCGGATTTGGGATTCTTTGTAGCTTAGATCTTCATGCAATTGAGTTAAAACATAAACTGAAAGGATTAAAACGATATGTCATTATATAATTCTTTACTGCTTGTCCCCGGTAATTGTCCATTAGTATTTCCCATCCACTGTTATATGTAACTTTCAGATGCACTGAAGCACTTAGTGCTAAATCCGAGTTGTCGTAGATGTTAAAGTTTTCTGAGAAATACTCGTTGCCCGGATGATCCTGCTTACCTAATGAGTTTTGATCGGTAGTGTGATGGTTTCGTGTGTCTACCAAAGTATGCCCTAAATGCGGATTTTATTTCGTTGGGCCTAAAATTACCTCATTGAGTCAAACGAAGTGAGCGGTTAGTAGTCCTTTGGTTTCGTGATCAAATGGCGTACTATTTTTTCCATGCATTTATCACTATTTACTGAGGTTAGAAGAATATTGAAGTAAGTATTGAATTTTGAATTGCCACTTCACTGTCGTAAGTGTTTTGCAATACATTTTCATGCGAACAAATACGTTAAAAAGTTCTTTTGCTAAGCATAAAATTTGCAAAACTAACTTCCAATACCGCGGTGTTGCTTCTCGTGCCTTTGTAGTGCACGCTTGGAAGGAAGCAAACAGCCACAAATTTCACATAGAAGTTTAGTTGGGTGTTTTTCGTAATGCTCTTGAAGTCCCTTTGCGGCAGGGAATTTCATTCCACATATGGGCCAAGTGCACTTATATAAACCTTGTTCGTTGTGCGTTTCAAGGTGTTTTGAATATTCCTTCGACGTCTTCATAATCGCATTACAATAATAACATTCATACTTCTGTTCGACTGAAAAATTGGTATGTACCTTTATGTTTACAAATATTTTATATGTTAACTAATGAATATAAATTAAAAATGACTGTGTCAGCATCATTCATTAAACCTATCAAATATATCATTAAATAATTCTTTACTGCTTGTCCCTGGTAATTGTCTATTAGTACTTCCCATCCACTGTTATATGTAACTGTATCTAAAGCACTTTATTCTAAATCCAAGTTGCCATGGATGTTAAAGTTTTCTGAGAAATACTCATTGCCCGAGTGATCTTATTGACTTAATGAACTTTGTGATCGCTTCATGTGTTCACCGAAGTATGCCCTAACTGTGGACCTTCCGTTGAACATAAAATGAATATTTCTTACCTGGACTATTTTGAACTGAAGCGATGCATAACAGAAGATTGAACCAAATAATA